ACAGATAGAGTTATTGCACCATAAATCATTATGGGTTCGGAAGGATTTTCAAAAAGTTCAGTATGAAATACGTCAGGTCAAGGTTGTTACGCACTTATCTGTGCCGCCTTAGGTGATTAGCGGTGTCCGTCAGGGTTCTCTGCCAGGCCCACTGCTATTTATGATGTTCGTCAACGACCTGCATGGGAAATCACCTCCCTCCGCTTCATTTTGTCGGAGGACTTCAAGGTGACTGAAGCAAATGTATATCAGGAACTGCAGGCGGTTATATGATGATCCAAAAAGTGGAATCTTTCTCATGACCTAGCCAAATGTCAGCTCCCCACAGCAGAATTTGAGCTGAACATTCAAAAAGAAATCCAGCTCAAAAGAGGGAGAGAAGTTAAGGACCTAGAAATTATTTTACTGCACGACTTTAAACCCTCACAACAATTTCAGAGGGCAGACAACATAGATCGAAGGGAACTCTTTCGTTTACACTCCACGATTACACGTAAGAGAGCCGAGGTACTCGTCCCTCTGCTAAAGGCTAAAGTTAGGCCACACTTGGAATAGAATGTTCAGGCATGGGCGCCATACTTTTCGTAAAAGCATCTAATGTATGGAAAGAGTGCAGCGCCTGGCTACGAGGATGATGGCGGAACAGAGATGTAAGAGCTACGATCAGAGGCTCAAGGACCTTAATCTGTTCTCGCTGGCAAGAAGGAGAATCAGGGGGATCTCATAGAAGTCTTTAAGACCTAAAATTGTCTCTTCGGACTCAAGTTTGATGATATGTTTCAATTCATCCCTTCAAGTAAAACTAGGGGACATAGTTTAAGGCTGCAACTTAGTCTTGTAAGGTTGGACATTCGAGCCAAGTGCATTACAATTCGCGTATTACCCTACTTGAATAGTCTACCCGAGGATGTGGTAAGTTGCTCAAACGTCATAGCCTCCAAGAGTGCCTTAGATGACTGCCGGGCTTCTATTTTCCCTGAAACAGTTTAAAGGTAAGTACCTATTAGTCCTGAGCGCCATTGCCTAGGACGTGATACTGCACCTCATATTCTGCCTTTCACAGAAAACCTATTGACTCGCGGTGTTGGAAGCCGCAAGATCAGCCAACAACACATCCATCTGGACGCACGATTGGCCCGGGCCACACATCGTCCTGTGCAAACCGAACTGAACTGAACAGAACCTTGCGGAGTTGTTGGTCCTTGCCGTAGCTTCATCAATTCGTGCGAGTCTTGTCCCCCTGTTAAATACTGCAGGAATTTGTTTCCTCCTAACGAGACAAAATATCAGCAATGCAATTTTTCGGCTCTACTCCCAAGTGAGGAGCATCTGACAACAACGGCAGTAGCACCCCGGATGAGCTCTGTGAGGTTCATTTCACCGTCATTTCGCCTCAACTTGTCGGGCGCGTTTAAGCCTCGGAGAGACACTGCAATTTGGATGAGGGTGTGACCGTTTTTACCCATCGGATCTTTTATTTCCGTATTTTGGATATCTTTTCTCCTTTTGTTACAACTAAGTCCAATCTCATACAGTGAAAAAAAAATTTATTACATAACGATAGCCATTGGCTCATTTCACTTGACCCAAGTGGTCAAAGGTCACATTAAACTCCCTCCGACCCACCCATCCACACACACACACACGCACACACAAACATACACCCATCACCGCCTACCTCCGAATATTGACCTTGAAATGAGCCAATGGCTATCGTTATGTAATAAATTTTTTTTTCACTGTATGAGATGTAAGAGCATGACTAGGAATATCCGAAAANTTGTTCGCTCACCGACTCGTTTTCTCAATGTTATTATGGGAATGTTCAAGCTTTTAAGTCTAATCTGGTGGGCCTTTGGTCATCGCATATCCCTATTTACGTGTTGCACCATGGCTTCGCAATGCAGCAGGTTTAGTATGGTGCAACTGAAGTATCCCCGTGGAGCACTTTAGTTACTGCATTTTATCTCTAGTATAGTAAAATCTCCAAGAATCAGTAGCTTGTNGTTGTGTTTAGCTACCATTTATGGTATAAGCAACAGTGCATTATCCTCGTTGTCTGGTTATGATGGGAAATCAGCACATTTGTGTGGCCAACGCCAATTACGCAGTAGGAGACTTGAATCTTCAGTTTGGATAACGTGAGCTCCCGCCTCTATTCCTGGTGTAGGTGCTGCAAAACCAGTATGGAGCTCCCCCTACCTTAAGGTAGCAGAAACGTTTCTGCTATCAGTCCTATTTGTGCGATCTTTTCAGAAGGCTGGTGGACAGGGGTGTTTGATGTCTATTTCTGGGCGAAGCCAGGTTTCTGTGAAAGCCACGAGATAAATTTCCCTTGCCACTGCCTTAAGTTCAGACCGTCGGTTTCCCACGCTACATGTAGTTGTGTATGCAATGTGCCATGCGACTGTTCCCTTAATGTTCGGCATCTCACCTAGGGAGGCTCATTTTGAAGCTATTGAACGTGAAGGTCTGTCGAGAAGACTTCATATGGATCGCAAAATACGCGCACACAACCACCTAGTGTTTAGTCAACCGAGATAGACAAAAACACTCGTGGTTGTCGTAGACGTTTATTGGTGTATCTTGGTACCAGAAAGTACCCAAAACGTGCCTATGTGACGACTAAACAATACGACCAAATAAACGCATGTGCAGTGCGAAAGCCTGTCACATGTGTTGCGTGGTTTGGAACCGGATTTAGCTTTTAATTACACATGAGCAGAAAACCGTGCTCAGTAAAACACAAGCAGTAGAGTAAAACAGAAAGTAATATCACATTGAGAGTTAAAGTTGACTGTGAATGTTAGGTCAGGTCGAGTCCCAGGACGTGCAGCTAAGGCCAGGTACCGTCCAGTTTCTTACACTGATGAGCTGCGATCGTCTTTTCACAGTGCTTCGACTGCACGAGCGGAAAATGTTCTTGTGTATTGTTTTTTTCCTTTTACAATCATCGTCATGACAAGTATTGGAAAGCAAAATGCTTAGCAGTTGAGGGTGTTGCATTGAACTTGCACAACATTCAAAGTGGAGAAACTGCACTGGAGGTGGTATTGACTCAAACTAAGATTAAAAACTTAGCTAAAGAAGTCAAATGAGGTTATAGACGATTCTGGTGAAATCTATACCGGAAACAAAAAAATGCACAAGAGAATGCTCCGAGCAACCATGCAAAAGGATGCATGTGGAAGAGGCAGATCCAACATGTTGCTAGCTCTCGAGCATGCTCTGCCACTAGCATCAGACATGAACTTCTAGGTAAACACAAAGTATGATTACACCACAGACAAAATCGCATGTTTGCAGTGTCACGAGTAAAGAGCGGTGTGACTTTCGCTACATTGTTTTGGCATCCTCACTGTGTGAACAATTCTGGTGGCTACAGGTTCCTAGTGCTTTGGGGTACCAAAGTAACTTGATGTTATCGTACAACATCTATAAAGCGTCTCTGGTGTTTGTGCGAGACGAAGACATGGTTACATCATCGGCGTACTTCTAAAGTACAGAATGGTAAATTCAGCAAAAAGCCGGTAACCTCATATTATTCGTTACTCCAAATATTTTGGAGAAACATTGCGCACATTTTGAAGACTATTTATGGTTTGTACAACACCACTGGAGCTGAGTTTTTCGCTGCCAGTAATCCTCACTCTTAAAACGACGATAATAGGTGATCAATCTAAAATTCTTGGTTCTCGCCACCCCCACCAATAATTCTTAGATGTGTGCTATATTGCTTCGTGTGTGCATAAATAAACTGCCATTTGATTTCAGTTAGGACACGTAAAGTTGTTGCAAGATGACCCTGAAAGAATGTATAAACGATCCTTCTTAGCTTCTATATAAAAATCATGGACGAGATAATAAAGTTTCCGGTATGCAAACGAGCTTGAGATTCCGCTCTGACACAGAAAATGCACGATAATTGGACTCTTTGTTTGCTCGGTGTTGTACATTCAACCGAGGCACTACGGAACCACTATGTTTGGGGAAAGGGAAGTTGCTCACCTGTCTTACCGCCGTTTCAGGCACTGAAGTCGGCTGTATAAGCCCGATTACGGCGACTTTCCTGCCAAAAATAAATTGGAACCCATAGAGTGGTTCCCTATAGTTGAAGATCACATTTTTGGCAATTATGTTTGAACTAAGTATTAAAGCCATTTTCTCATGGTTAAAGACGGATGCCAGTACCATCAAATTTCGACCTGGGTGACTGGTGATTCTCAGTTCAGAAGGCTAGTGCCAGTATCGAATAACTAAAAATATACGTTCATGAACATTACATGCAACAAACTACACCATTTGTTCAATAATCCTTTTTATCGTTGTCCGCTTAGCTCAAAAATTTCGCAAAGTACGAGCGTGATTCCCCAAAACGACGATTCTTGGTCTCAATCCCGATAAGGGCGCAAAAATAGCAGAATTGCCAGAAAGTTCCAACAGGCATATATCAATTTTGCCAGCTATCCCAAAACAATCCGCACCAAACAGGTAATCCCAAAACAGCTATAGAACAAAATATTGTTGTTCGTCATCAAAAGAGAAGAAACGATGAATCCAAGATATCTTAAGGTTCTCCTTTTTATTGTGCGTAAAAACACCATGTAAGTCAGAAAGTCCGGATGGGTACAATGCAAGGCATATGACTTGGTTAAAGCGTCCGCCACCCGAGAGCGATGGTAAACGACTACAAATGCATGCAAGTGTGCTGAGCAAATGCAAAATGGCGGCTGGAGGGGATCGACGGGGACAAAGATGGAGTGGGACTAAATGTGATTGTGGCATATACACCACTGTCGGATTATGCATCGAAAATGATATGTTTGGACGTGGAAGCGGAACCAGCGCTATTATCCCCACCGAAACTGGTAATACGACTGGACACGGTAGAGCTAGAAGAATCCATCGGTTCGACTTCGGTGGATCCTTTACCATCCTTCTGATTTCGCATGCGCTGACGTCGGTTCTGCTGTATTCTACGCCTTCGTTCATGGGACCCAACCAGCGAGGCCGCGACAGCACGACAGTAGGCTACCTCACTTTTACTGGACAAAAGGCGGGCTCTCACGCAACTCAGAACCGGTTTCTGTGATCCATCCTCTATACATGACTGCTTAATAAACTCAATTAACTGACATGCAGCCATTTTCGTCTTGAATCGCACAAATACCGGGTATCGAGTGTCTGAATCGGGCGCGGAACACACAACGGAGTCCTCCATTGGCTTTGGTTCTGCGTTTTTGACTTCAAGAACTACTTGGTCACTTGGTGTTGGGTCCACATGGGCCACTTGATCCAGCAGATTGCTACAGGACAACAAATGATGTTCCAAACTGATTCGAATTCTTCGAGCCAAACTTGGTGTACGTGGTGGTGGTAGCAGTTGTCCCAAATCGGACATTATTGGATTCGCATCCGGCTCACAAACGAGACTGGAGGGCCAGCAAATCTACGATAGAAAGAACAAGGACAATGCACTCCGACAGAATACAAAGTGTATATAAATTTCATTGCATGTTTATAGATCGTGATTATATTTATGTTAAGCTGCCAAATTGTTATGTTTTACTCCGCTTAAATCCCATGCCTACTGTTATGTCTCCCAGCACTATATCACAGGTGAATACAAGTGTAAAGAACACAAGATATAGCACAGTAACACCAGTAGCACACGCAAACACGAGAACAGCGGACTAGCACTAAGTCCGTGAGCGGATGATAGTTCTAGGAGCAGAAGCTACCTAGGTGAACACAGAGCACACGGTCGGCTATCGATCTCTCAGACCTCCCAAAACACGAGAGAGAAGACACGGCTTGGGCAGCACGGGATCTTAATATGAAAAGATCAGTGCTACCGTCGTGGCCTCGTAGCTCAGCTGGTATAACGCGCGCTGTACAAAAGCGTAGGCGGCGTATATGCGTGGGTTCGAGTCTCACCGAGGCTACCGAACTCATCACAATCTCAACATAAGACTTTAATCTGCCAATCAACAATGTGAACTATTATCATTATTATTGTTATTCTCGGAAGAGTAGAGCTGTATGCTACCGAGCGCGTCCCCAGGTCGCGGATAGGGGAACGGCCGCCATCTCG